TCTGTCTTTCCCTCTCTTTGTCTTCCCTCGTCACTCCCTATCTCTATCTCTTTCCCTCTCTCTGTTTCTGTCTGTCTGTCTGTCTGTCTGTCTGTCTATCTGTCTGTCTGTCTGTCTGTCTGTCTGTCTATCTGTCTGTCTGTCTGTCTGTCTGTCTGTCTGTCTCTTTTTTTCTCTTTCTGCTCCCCCCCCCTCTACCTGCCTTTCTCCCTCTTTTCTCTGCCTCTCTCTCTTTCCCCTTCGCTCTCTCTCTCTCTCTCTCTCTCTCTCTCTCTCTCTCTCTCTCTCTCTATCTCTCCTCTGTCTGTCTAGAGAAGATTCACTGAGCTAAAAAGTTTCTTACCAGAAATACCAGAGCTCATACCAACAGTCAGAGTTGTCTTTACCGCTCGGATCATTCCCTCCACAGGAGCCTCCGTGTGCCTGAAAAAGAAAGAAAGAAAAAAAAAAAGTGAAAAAAAGTGAGGAAATTTTAAACGTCACAGGTGGTTGCTTTATTTTTGTTTTCCTCGACAGGTTTTTTTTTTCTTTTTAGTTTTTATTCGTGGAAATTTTTACTGAAATGTGACGGTCTTCGCACGATCCTTTGTAATCACCAACAACAGCAATGACAATAAAGTCAACAATAACAGCCATAATAATAATGGTAGATTTAATAATATCATCACCATCATCATGCAGGCCATTCTGTACCGCGTCGAAACAACGTACATGTAATAATGGCCCTCTCCTCTGTTACTGAAACACCAGCAGTAAAGAATGCATTCTGCAATCTCGACAGGTATAGATATCTGGCATTTCCGAATGTGCATACTCTTTTCAAAAAGACTCTGTCGTTGTTGAACCATAGGAGTTTACCCAAACGCGATGTACCATTAAGCAAGGAAAATGTGCTGAAATGGAGTAAAAGGAGTTGAAAAAACTTCGGCCTACAAATAGTGATTGGTTTCCTCTCCTTGAAAGTAATACATGTATATCCATTAGTATTCTTTTTGGTCAAACAAGTCACCGAAACCCCTATTTTTTCAATGATACTATAAATCATGCCTGGTTTACATTTCAATGAGTTCGAGAAGATTCTAGTTTTGTGACTGCCGTAAAAACTAAAAGAATAGTTTTTTAAAAGATAATTATTACTAACCCATCCTCCCCGTTTCTTTCTCTCTTTCTCCTCTTCCTTTCGATCTATTTCTTTGTTCTCTTCCTCCCTTCCTCCCTCCCTTATCTCCCTATATCTATATCTCCGAATTTTATCAATCCCATGCACCCCC